CGGGAAGGTGAGCATCATAGAATGCCAATTTACTAGAAGAAAGTATTCTTGTGTTGAGGGAGTACTTGAGTGGAGGCCCAATGTCCTTCGAGTCAGTCAGTTTTGACTCACAGCGATGCTGTGTACAACAGAGCAAAACACTGCCCAGCCCTGCCCCACCCTCACTGTGGCTGTTCTGTTACAGCCTCTGTCTCAAGCCATCCCCCGCCGGTCTCCTGGTTCTCCCTCTGCTTTACTAAACACGAGGTCCTTCTCCAGCGATTGGGCCCTCCTAAGAACATGTCCACGTGCGGAACAGTTCGTTGGTGAGTGATTCCTGGGGGTGCAGCTGCTGACAGCTCTTCCCCTCCTTGTGGACATTGTCGTGCCATCTGCAGAAAGCACCCTTGGGCGCAAGCTGTGTCACACACCAGAATGTGCTTGGACGGTGGTGGCGTGGGACACCGGTTTGCTTTGCAAACTGTCACCCAAACTAAGACGCATCTGGTGCACTGACACGCCCTCCTTCACATGACAAAGGAGCTCCCATTTCCAAATGGGATTGCTCCCACAGTATTTAGGGGTTAGGATGCACAACACATACAAAGGGCCTTCAGAAAGTTCATGGGGAACTCTATTTTTTTTTTATTCCACTTTGCCACAAACTTTTTGAAGCCTCCTTGTATTTTTTTCCTTGTGTTTTTAAGGGGGCACATAATTCAATCCATAACATACTTGATAGAAGCTATAGAGCAGTGGTTCTCAACCTGTGGGTCGTGACCCCTTTGGGGATTGAACAACCCTTTCACAGGGGTCGCCTGATTCATAACAGTAGCAAAATGACAGTGGTGAAGTAGCAACGGAAATAATTTTATGGTTGAGGAGTTGAGTTGCCACAACACGAGGAACTGTATATTAAAGGGTTGCGGCGTTAGGAAGGCTGAGAACTGCTGCAGGGAAATCTGTGTTATGGACAGTGGGCCAGTTGCTGACTCTTCAAAATTAACAGAAGCGGAACACAGTGAAATAACATCTTGAAGCAGAGCAAAACTGTTAGCTTGAAATTTTGTGCCTGCTAAACTAATATACCCTCTTCCCCCCAGAAAAGATTCTCTATAAAAGGTATTTTCAGACAAATGAAAAAACAGCTATTGTTTTTAGTTGAATAACCCATGTAGGGTGTCTGAGGTAGAGTAAAATACAAATTGAATATCAGTATTTTTCAGCTAGATCTCATGGACATATTTATACCTATAGCTTTACTCCTACCTATAACCTGTATCCCAAACTGCAGAACACATATTCTTTTCAAGCATACATAGAATGTTTCTGGAAAATAGACCTCATTGCTAAATATAAAGTAAGTCTCAACAAAAGTTTAAAAATTGATATGAAAATAATTTTTTAAAAAGCAAGCAAGTGGGAAAAGCACTCAGAAAGACCTGTCACCCGATGTGCTGAGATTCTCCATGCCACCTTCAAGGTCAGGAGCTGAGGCACACTGGCTTGTCACCTCTCAGATTCTCCCAACAGCTTGACATCCCCAGGGGTGTCTTCAAACACCAGCTGCTTCTGCTCCATTTACCCCAGCCCACTCTCTCTGACATCTGTGAGCACACAACCCAGCACGCAGGACCGGAGATGGGTGTTAACAGCTGCATGCTCACCATCTGAGGGGTCCTGGCTCACTTACTCCTTGTGCTCCCAGCCTCCCTGAGTATGTCAGCTTCGGTTGGCTGGACCAAAACATAGTAATAAAATGCAATGCATAGCAAATACAATAAAATATAATGCGTCACCAGGTATAACTGGATAAATGGTCATCCCAAAGAGTGCTGGTGTCAGCCTAATGGGTGGGCAGCCAGGAATGGTGAATTTAGGGATTTCCCCATGGTTTTATGTCAGTGCTGTTGGGGGAGCATTGGACCACTAATTGCAAAGTCAGCAGTTCAAAACCACTAGTGGGAGGAAGTTCAGGCTTTCTGCACCAGGTAGGATGTACAGTGTCGGAAGTCCTATACAGAGCCCTGTAATTCAATGGAAGCAGTGGGTTGGGTGGCTATAGATACTGAAGACATGATACGAACTAGGATTTGCAGTTGGGAGATCATGTCTTAATACATTGGACCAACGGATCAAACCGAGTAGGGAGGAATGAGTAGGGCTAACCGTGAGGGTTGACCATGAGGACTTCAGGCAAGGCCAGTTCAGTATAACACTTGTGATGCGATATGGTCACGAAAAGCTAATCCCATTTGATTGTATTAACAGAGGTATAAGCTACAGGGGTAGAGGTGGGGAAGGAGTCTTACTCTGTGCGGCCAGTTTTCGATGTGGTGTTTGGTTCTTAGGATGGGCGTTAGTAGGTGGTAATGCGAAGGAAGGGCGATCAGGAGGACACGGCACCGTAGAATGAGTTTATGTAAAGAACAGTGATAGTGATCTAACTTGTAGGGAAGGACTTGGTGGGGTCATGAATGCTGAGACCAGTTGAAGGGTTTTCTTGGGGAAGAAGTTTTCATGGAGAAGTGACTTCCACAGCAGTGCCTCCCAAAAGCTTTCTCCAATGGTGGAAATGTCTGATATCTGCATCGTCTAATAATAAGCTGCTAGACGCATGAGGCTAGAGATTGAACTTTTAATCTAGCTTGAATGTATTGCAATCAAAATGTAAATAGCCATCCATACGTGCCTAGTGACCACCATATTGGACAAGGCAGTTTCCTTGGGTAAATAAGGGACTAACTTGGGGTTACCACTCCCCCTACCCCCTTGGGGAGGCAGGAGGGGGCCGTATAGTAAATATCTTTTGCTTGTCAGGCCATCTGCTTTGACTGCACATACTCAATTCTGCTGCAATAGTAAGAGAGCGGCTACAGACGGTATGCAAATGAGTGAACGTGGTAGTGTTCAAAAAAAACCTTTATTTATGGATGCTGGAATTTGAATTCCATATCATCTTGACACCTCCTGAAAAATCCCTTCTCCTGTCCCCCAATCATTCAAAAGGCTAGAAACCAAATCTAGGCCCTACTGGTCTTAGCTGACACAGGATGGAGGCTGCAGGGAAGCAGACAGCCTTGGTTCAATACCGGAAGGCGATGCATTCATTCCAGGAGGCCGGATGTGGAATGAACATCTTTGGGAAGTCGTGAGTTTCTTGTTCCTGTACTGTTCAGGCTGGATCCTGTCCTGTCTGCTAAAGGCTGATATAGAGATGCCCTGTTGGATACAAACCATCGGGAGCTTTCCTCTAACTCCGTGCTCTTGTTGGTGTTAGGTGCCTCGGAGTTGGCTCCGACCCATAGCAACCCTGTGCACAACAGAAGGAAACACTGAACGCCCGGGCCATCCGCTAGGTGGCAGGTTTTCAGCGGCTTCTTCCTCCGAAGAGGGCGGCCCAGCCCCTCTTGTTGTCTGTTCTTAGTCTGGAAACTCTGCCGAAACCTGTACCATTCGGGTGCCCCTGCTGACATCTGACATACCAGTGACATAGCTTCCAGCATCACACAAGCCATCACCGGGCAACAAACTGCAGGAGTGCTGACATCAGGATGACTTACGAGTGCTTTGTCCTTCTTACACTTTGTCGAGATTGAGTAGTTGTTTCCCTCGCTTGTTCCGTGTTCTTCAGCCCTGTGCTTCAGGTGGTTTGCTCAGGGAGGCAGGGGGGCGGTGGTGGGGGGAGGGTGGTGGCTGCTGGCTTCATTGCTTCAGAAGTTCTGCCAAGTGTGCGTGGCCCCCTGGGATGTGCCCTAGTGGAGAGTGGGGGAGTTGATACTGTCCATTTACCTCAGTCTAGGAGAGATAGGTTGATGGCACACAAAGACTCCACTTCTTAAGGGAGGACACGCCACTGGCTGAATATTGTCCTGTCTCCTTCTGGGGCCAGGGTGGCAGGCTGGGGTGGGCTTGGGAACCTTCACCCCTCGGGAAGGTCTTTCTCTGGATGTGCCATTGCATCTGGGAGACTCTTTCTGGACTCAACGTCAGACCACAGTCCCGATGACTGCCCAGGAGCCAAGTGTCCAGACTGGACATTTCCAGTCCACTTATTCTTATTGTTCTTGTTAACTCTGCTATTTGTTTTTAAACCTTTCTTCTGCCTGCCTTCTGCCCATTTGACTCCTAAGCAACATCTCTGCCAGCATGAACTAGTTATGGCACCTGGCCCTTCTATGTAGGCAGAGAAGTCAAAACTGCTGATTTGAAGTTTAAAATTGTCTACGTCTTTATGCAAGCCTCAAGGAGCCGTGGTTGCTTAGTGGTTAAAGCACTTGGCTGCTAACACAAAGGTTGGCTGTTCAAACCCATCAGCTGCACCACCGGAGACTAAAGTGAGAGCCAGCTCCCATGAAGCTGACAGCTTTGGGAAGGGCATGGCACAATTCTGGGCCTTCCTACAGGGTTGCTGTGAGTGGGAATTGAGTGGGCTTGGCTTTTGGTTATCCAAGTCCCAGTCTGTTATCACAACCATAGAACTTTCTTCTGCACATTCTTGTAAATCACAAAAAACGGAGGTGTGGGGGTAGGGTGGGGTGGGGAGTCACTGCCTTCTAGTCGATTCCAACTCATAGCGACCCTATAGGTCAGGGTGGAACTGCCCTGGACGTTTCTGAGACCGCAACTTTTTGCAGGGGAAGAGAGCCTCGTCTTTCTCCGGAAGAGTGGCTAGTGGTTTCAAAACCCTGATCTTGAGGTTAGCAGCCCAGCGTGTAACTACCACATCACCAGGGCTCCTTTTGTAACGCCCAGGAGGCTTAAGAAATGCGGTCCATTTGGACGTTTTTAAGTTCACACAACACTAGACAGAAGAGTATCGTCAACCTCATAGGCTTATTTGGCTTCAGCTTCTGGAACAGTAACCACCCTGGCCAATCTCCTTTCATCAGTGCCCTCTTCATTTCAACGTTCCAACTCCATAGGAAGCTTCGGAGAGGGAGCACACTTGACCTCAGTTTTGCACTAACACCTTGACTCTGCATGTTCTGTTTCAGATCATTGCCTTCGATGAGCTGAGGACGGATTTTAAGAGCCCTATAGACCAGTGCAACCCTGTCCATGCGGTAAGTGTCGGGCATTGGGGAAGGGAGGGGTGATGCTACCAGAAGTCATCCGGGGCTGGGGAAAGAGGGCGAGGGTTTTGTTTGTTTTAATCATTTGATTAGGGGCTCATACAACTCTTATCACAATCCATACATACATCAATTGTGTAAAACACACGCGTGCATTCATTGCCCTCATCATTCTCAAAACATTTGCTCTCCACCTAAGCTCCTGGCATCCGCTCCTCATTTTTTCCCCTCCCTCCCTGCTCCCCCATCCCTCACGAACCCTTGATAATTTATACATTATTATTTTGTCATATCTTGCACTGTTTGACATCTCCCTTCACCCACTTTTCTGTTGTCTGTCCCCCAGGGAG